ATAAAACAAAATAATGAAAGGTATGAGATAAGGTACAGGGCATTATAAATCTGTATTTTGAAATTCTTCTTTGATTATCTTCTTCTAAATAAGGTGCTATACTAACGTGGAGTAAGAGTTTAATCACTGTGGAGGGAAACATAAAATTCTAGCCGTCCTCTCTGCTTGTTGATGTGTCTGTTAATCGTTAATCAGCAAGTGGTTTTACTTTGCTAGAACCACAGTTCACAATTATCCTAGGCTTGATACTCTAGCTAACAGAAGCTGTAAATACTAATTACTTCTGAAAGTCTGGATTTAAACATTTAGGTTAGAAAATGTTGTCTTCAATTTTTCATCAGACAGATTCTGGCTTCAGTTTTTCATCCAACAGGATCGAACATAAATACAAGGCTTGCTTTTATGTCCATTGGAGGATGTGGAAGGGAACTGCCAAAGCCAACCAGCCTGGTAACTGAATAGAACTTTGTTAATTCAACATCAATTAATATCATGGAGGGCAGATCTTAACAGATCCCCAGCATCTGGTTTATAAAGTAAATGAACTCCTTGAACTCCAATTGCGAAATTGTCCCAGAACTTCTCTCTCTCCAGATCAGAACAATTCTAATTCACAGTTTGTATTTATTCATAGATTATAGCAATTCATTTTAGACCAAATTTTTGCCAAGCTGAATCAGCTTTTTCTTCACTAGTTGTTGTACCTGCACTAACTACTGTACAGTGAACTCAGGTTTTTCTAGTTTTCAGCATAATTGCTTCGATGACTGCAGAGTAATTGCATTCTTAGACTTTTCTCTCAGTGTCGGATTTCATTTTCGAGATTATTCTTCTAAGAGATTATTTAAACACTAAAGATCTTTATAATCCTTTAGTTTAAAAAGTGCATTTAGTAAAGGAGCTGTTATAAGTAGCAATAAAATAGCTAACAAAATATTTATACATATTACACAATGATATTTACTCTCAGTTGTCTCTACAGTTAAATAGAGAAGCAGAATTATTTAATACTGAAAAATTATTCAAGTGTATTAACTACAAGTAAATAGGAGGATGAGTACTCTAAGTACTATTATAGTTACATAATACATCAGTTTTATGATGAAGAACATTCTATTGTCGCCATTTATTGAAACTAGAAAACCTGGTCTTGTTACATCAGATGGTCCGTCTTCATATAAAGTCCATTTAATGCACTGAGCAAAAGTAAATTACTATGCAAAATTGGTAATTTGGGTGAAATTGTGCTCTTTTGTACTCTTAATGCTATTGATGCTTATCTTCAAAATATAACAAGTATATATTGACACTTTGAAAGAGAAATGTACCTTTTAACTTAATTTCAAGTACCCTTTTCCTCATTGCATCATTTGTTTGGATTTTTGATGCTAGAAATACAGCTATAACCTGCTTGAGCTTGGCTTAGACACGGAGTTGGACAGACAGTGGTGGTCCAGTTTTGTCGATTCTTTCTTCCACCAGAACCTTTCATTTCTGCGCTTTTACTGCAGAGTTTTCAAATCCCTGTCATTATGCCTGCCAGCCTGACTGGACCCCATGGGCAGAGCTAGCCCTTCCACAGGCAGCATTTCACCTCTGATTTGCCAGTGGTGCTGTGCTAGCATTGCTTTTAGCACAACAGGGGACACGTAGACTGGAAGCAGCACTAGTTAGAGAATGATTTGGTGGGTAATAGCATCCTCACTTGTTATCGTCGTTTTGTTGCACGGGAAGATGAAATCCATGCTGTCCCAGCTAAACTGGCATACAGGGAGATATTTTAAGAAGCAGATTATTAAAAGCTTGGAGTCACAAGATAATAGTTTTTGGTTACCCACAGGTTCTATGTGTAATTCAGTCTCTGTGTAGCAAAGATCCAAGCTGAAAAATAGGGCTCAGTGTTTCCAAAGTAAATACCTGCAGGTCTCGTATTTTTGTTACAAGAAACTAATATAAAAAGTATTGGAAGACATCAGATGTTTACCAAAAACTGAATGGGAATTGCAAAACACTTTTTACCATCAGTTGATTATCCAAATGCTTGTAGGACCCCATGCCTACATAGGACTTCATTGACATAAAAGACTAGAAGTACAGCAATCATTTTGCATGACTGCTTTCAGATAGTCACCAAGAAGTATGGCCTCACTCACAGTTTGACCAGAATAAAAATAAGGCTAAAATTAATTGTATTTTGAAGGAAGAATACTAACAATTCTGTATTTTTTTTTTCCACAGGAACATGTGTAATGAGGGCCATAAGGAGGCATCCAGTAGTTTGATGCTGAAGAGCCAAGGAAAATACATTTGAGGAGGAGGGAAAATGAAAACTGTTAGTGAACTAATTTTGAAATATACAGAGGTAACTACTCTGCTTTGAAGTTTCTATGAAAGACAAGAGACAAGCTTGTTTTGAAATGCTGGAGGTCCTGCCTCGCAGTATCCTATGCTAGTCTGTTTACTCCTGCTAGGCAACAAGTCCCAAGTTCTCCACTAGTTCTCATCCTGTAGTACCTGCTTTGGTTAATATTGATACTGGCTTTCAAACTCAGAGCCAGATTTAAAGCTCTGGTGTTGCAGCCCTCACAGAAACAGTCCCACTGGCTTTAAGAAGTGCCATATTTAGTGTCCACTGCTGGCACACTGGATCAGTAAGTTGTATTTTTCATCATGGGCTTTAGTAAGTCTGCAAAGAGATCAAATGCCTGCGTACTGTTAAAAATTACTCAGGGTGAACATCCTCTTTCTGAGGACTGACTGAAAGGTTTTCCAGGTTGCGTCTGCAGCTGTGCAGCTGCTTTTAGATCTCAGAAGCTGAACTGCACTCAACCAGTAAACTGATGAACAAGGCTGTTTTATCGACACTATAAGGAACACAAACCCAGGCACAACTCCGTTTAGTTCCTTCTTTTCATTTTTATCTTTTCAAAGTAAAGAGATAAAGGAAGTAACGGAGCCAGGACTGGGACAGCCAACTCCAAGTACAAATAAATCAGTGTTGTCATTTTCAGGGTCCTGAGTTGCACCAAGACTTAAAATTACTTGATAAACAGAAACGGAGACTGAGGATGAGGCTTGTCTAAAAAAAGAATAGGGAGGAAAAGAATCTACAAGTGTTTTCCAGATATTCTGGACTGACACATGTTGATGCTGCTTCACTCCTTCAGTGGACTGGTACCAAGTTAGAGCAGGATGGCACCTGGTCCTACCCTTCAGTTTAAACTTGGAAAAAGGAGGACTTGCTTTGCCTGTTACTGAAAAACATGTTTTCTCTGTGCTGAAGCACAGCAGTTGTTTAACAGCATACACTCTTTAGCAACTGTTGTCAAACAATAAAAAAAAAAATATTTCATCCAAATAAAATAAAAAAAGGAGTTTTAGACAGGAAAGTGGAATAATTTGCAGTGGAAACGGGCAAGGGTCCCACAGCTAAACCTTCTTTTAATGAAAAGTCCAGGGAACCTCTCTGGCATGCTTGAACCCTATTTTCTAACAGCGTTTACCCCAAAAATGTATGGAATTCTTTCTAAACTTGAACATATACTCACCAATTATTCTTTGTTTCCAGTTATTTCCTGGAGGAAAAGAAAGAAAGCATACATTTTTGTATGTCCTGATTTAAACCAGTTTGTTATAATGAGTATATATGTAGGTCCTGGTTGGACAAATTTAGTTAAGCTGGAGGACTACTTGTTTGAGCAGGTGACTTCTCACTTGTGATGAGTATAAAGAGGCATTCTCTGTATACCAGTGACTGAAAAGCTCTCAGAGTGTATTTGTTTGCCTCTTGTGAAGAACAGCTTTGTTTTTGAGTCAGGGCTAAACTATTCAGGAAGTCAGAATGCCGTACTTTGGAGCACGCGTTTGCAACACACTAGTCCTAACCTGGTGGCCTGGATTTTATTGGGACTAATGACATAGTAACAAAGTGTAACATACCATCCTTGAGTATCCAAGGTGTTGTGCTAAAACCCTTGGATGCTCAAAATGTGAAACTGTCATTGCAATATGGCTCTCCAAGTTGTGCCTTGTTGTTTCTGACCTCGAATATACTCAAGTCAAAGGCTAAGAGGTCTGCCAGATTGTCTTCTTGCCCTTGGGATACATTGAACTCCTGAACCCTGACAGTTTCAGAAACAAACAATGTCCTTTTTGAGCTTTGCTTTCACCACATAAAAATTCAGATAGCCCAAATGTTTTTACTCTTAGCAGCATTTTAGATTTTACACAGTCAGAAGAATTTTCTGATGGATAGAAAATGAAAGAATGATAATTCATAAATCCAGCACATACACACATGCTTACAGCATGGAGGCCTATGTATGAGCTTACTCTTATTCAGACTTTCTAAATATGTAAGTCTTTTTCTCCAGAAGGATTTAGAAGCTACAGCTCTGTGCAAAACTTTGAAATAAAGCAATCTGAAACAGCAATGTCAGCACCTTTACTGAACTGATGAGACTGATTAAATACTTTTTTCCAAAGACATTTATCAGGCTACAGCATAAACCAAAGGCAAAGCTCTGTCCTGAACCTAATCGTGCATTGGGTTAGTGAGGCCAAGTTATATCAATTCTGTAGTCCCTGGAAGGTAGTGATGTGGCTAGCAGCATAGTTAGCTGGTTTCATTTTTCCAGTCAAAAATAAAGGCTCTGTTTGGTGGACTGCAGTGCAAGGCTGGAAAGCACACCTCTGGATTCATTATAAGTTACTATCCTTGTGCTGTCTCTGCATCTTGATGTTATGGCATATTAGGTTTATGTTCCTTTTCTGCTAACAAATCAGTGTTACATTTATTGGACAGTATGAAAAGGCAGTTTTTAAAAATAAACAGAAAGTTTTACGAATTAGTAACAGGTAAAGCCAAATCCTCCATCAATATCTTCAGATCATGTCTTCTATCTTTTGACGTGAAAACAACAGAAGGAATCTCTCCTTCCTCTTCTTAATGTAAAATTTCTAAATTCCTCTATTCATCACATGACACTGGAGCCACTTACCAAAACTTCGTTGTTTTGAAAGATGCATCAACACTAAAGAAAGATGACACAGCAGCATCTTGGGACAAAAGAATTGTGAAATTTAAATGCAAAATCCTGTAACTGATTTAAGGTTACATTCTGTCCCCATATGCCCACATATTGCTCTTATTAGCATCAAAAAGAGCCGTGGATGTACATCCGAGGATGGATTTTGGTCCTCAGATGTGGCTTAGTAAAATATTGTGTGTTGAATATAAAGAAAGTCTGTACTTACAAACTAAAATTATCAGCAACAAAGTGGCAGACAATCCTCCCAGAAAATATCTGAGAACACAACAATACCCGTAAAGGTTAGAAAAAAACAAGGTATGCATATTGGGTTAATAGAAGTGAAGCCTAGGTGGGAGGAGGAGAGAAGGTTCTTGTAGATGAACTGTAATTTGAAACTTTAAATTACTTCAGCTACTGAGGATAATCCCCTAGAAATAAAGACCTCAGCATTCCCAGGCTGAGGGAAACACCCCTCTTGGAGACTTGGAAAGACATGGATCCGTTCTGATTCTTCTCAGCCTTTCAAAACCCCTGTCCAAACACACTTGACAAAGTAGTTTTCATATCTGCGTACATATTTCTTATTTTTGTGCGTATCTATATAGCTCAGATGTTTGCCTGCATCGACTATAATGTGAAAATATATTTTCACAGTAAGATATATCTAACTTTGCAAATGTGACCCTTAATTTATGTTTTATTCAGCAGTTGAAATGGAATAAGCATTAATATCAGAAAAAACAAATAAAAGAAATAAAAATTACCTTGTGCATAGTGAAATGATTAAACACATGATCAGCGCAACCATCTGAGAAAGGACATTTCGCACTGTCCTGGATTCTAAAACAAAAATCAGGAAAATAATTTTGATGAGTTTTCAGAAAAGTAAATATATGACAGGAGGTGTTTGCAAAGACTATCTTCAGCCTGCAAGGCCAGTCTTTTCGGTTTCTTTTTAAGAGAATTCACCTAGAATGATTCAAAGCGGAAACCTAATTTTCATGCTCTGGGTGTCTCTCAGGAGTCTTTTTCCCCCACGACCATAGAGACACTATGCCCTCCATGCTCCCAGAAAACAAGCCTTTCTGAATAATTGCCTGTTTCAGTTTTTGTTCCCATGCCCTTTCCTCCATTTTCCTCTTCACTCCACTTTTTTCTTTTTCTATTTACCACTGAAAATAGGATAGGAAACAATGTGAGCAGGGAGGAGTCAACAAGTAAATACCAATTTTAAGATTTTATTATTTTTAATTAGTCATTCAAAATGTATGTTTCAGGAAATAAATTCTATTCTGCAAAGGGGCATATCAACATTTTTAGTGTATTTTCAGTTCACTCTAAAAAATGAGGCATATCAGAATAAGAACGTAACATACTTGCATTGCTCAAAGTCTCTTCATTTGCATTTATTATAAATGGAGAGCACGATTGTGAAGCACAAAATGGTTTCCCAAACCGAAGAAATTCCTCATCTTTGTGGAGAGAGGCTCCTTTAGATGCTGGAGTTTGCCTTTGTGGTACGTGGCTATTATATTCAGAAGAAAAGTCTGAATCACCTGCAAAAAGTGCATATGTAACTGAGACCACACAAAAGAAGGGCTTTGAGACTTTGTGTTAATGAATTTCAGGGGGGAAAAAAAAATTATTTACTTAATCACAGCGAGGTTTCCAAATGGTTAGGGAGAGGGAATTGGCAGGTTCAAGGTATGCAGGAGAAAATATGCAGAGTAAAGACAAAACTGCATCGGGCATAACACAATGAAGTTATTAAAACAGCCAGGTGAAAGCAAATGGTACCATATGTTAATGACACCAGCATAAACATGAGTGGTGATGATTTTGGATTCAAATTCAGTCTAAAAATGCCTTTTTGGCACAAAGGTCTTTGTGGACTTTAATACCGGGAGCTCAATTCAGCACTTAAAATTCTGTTGTTCATCCTTTACCTGCAAAGTAAAGGTTTGCAGGTCCTTTGACCTGCAAAATCTGCAGAAAGAGATACCCAAATCCCACTAAATATAGAATGTAATGTTGTAGCTCAATTTCTTGGTACCTGGTCAGGGCTTACCAGTATCACTCTGACTGGCCTCTAGCTTACTGCATTCATCAGGCCAAGGATCATCTATGTGGGAGGAATCCATATTGCTGAGGACGGTGCTGCTGAGCCACGAACTGGAGGCACCAAGATTGAACAAGCTGGCAAGAGAGCGACGGATTTTCTTCCTTCGCCTGAATACGCTAACAAGAAAAGACACATTGTCAAGGAGAGTTAATTATTTTTGCTGAGCAAGGACAGAGCTCTAAGGCTTGTAGGACTGACATGAAAGAACCAGTTTCTGGTTCTGGGTGCTGTTCCTCGCTCTGTTCTTGACCCTGGGTATGTCACCAAGAGTGACTGCTGCATGCTGCAATTATTAGCAGCATGGCAATACATCATGCATTGTGATACTGGATACTGTGATAACAAATGGTATTACAGTATGAGTGGTCTCATACTACTAGCCATGAGTTTCACCCTACCATATCCCAGGTGCTACAGCCTGAATCCACTGTACTTCAACTTTTTTGAACTACATTTTATAAACCTTCCTGAACTGATGTTCCTCTGAAATCAAGAGAGATTTTTCCCTGAGCAAGAATTCCAGGGCCAGACCTTTTTATTATTACGTATGTATATACACACACTTTTTTCTTATTCCTTATCATGGTAACACCCCATTGGCAAAATGAGCTGTAGTTCTCCTTTTTCTTTATTAGACACGACTCCACTTACTGCAACAACTGAGTACTGAAGAGTTTTTGGGTGGTAAGATTAGACATGACTGAAAATCGAGTTATTTTAATCAGTGCACTGTCTAAACTAAATCAATCAAGATGTTCCCATTAAGAAGCAATGCTGATCTTACGCCAAACAAAACGCAGACAGCCACACAGATGCCTCCGGATAAGTCCAGAGATGTGGAGGCAATTGCCAACATTGAGTAAAATCTGCGTATAGCTCACTTACCGAACTAAATTCTCTTTATATGTAACACTTGTCTGGGATGGTGTCAGTGTTACGTTGCCCTCTTCATCAGACAGAAAACTGTCTTGTGTCAAAATGTAATAGCCATTAGAAAGCAGGCGAGGGCTGCGGCGACATGTGGAAAGGGAGCCTGTCAGAAGATTTGTGGAACAACACTCATAGGCAGGGTCATCGTCCAAAAAGGCGCAAGCATAACTGAAAAGGAGAAATGAAACCCTCTAATTTAGTGTCTAGACAGAGCAAACCCGTGATTTAATAATAATGAATTTACATTACCAGCTGATGGGGGCTGGTCATGAGATAGATGTAAAATATGTGGATGTAATGATATTACTTCTGGACCTAGGGGGTTTCAGCCAGCTAGGGTGTGCCTCCATCACACTTTCCAGATGACAGGAGTGCTTCATGCATTTCACATGTGGAGCGTTTCACAAATGCATGGAGCCAGCTTGACTTGAGAAGTGCATGGTGTATATCTGTGGCAGTGCTCTTGGCCAAAGAGTCCTGCCAGATCTACACCTACCTGGAGCCATCAGAGGTATTCCAATATTTTGCTTCTCTGAGTTACTCTGCATGGCACAAGCCTGAGTGCCTCTGAACCAGGCAGGATTTATTTGCCTTTTATAACCCAGCCATACTTAATGAAGATTTAAGGGTACGTGACTTTTCATTCTCACAAATCATGGAGTACCATGCTGCTAGAACAACATGGGATAAAGTCTACACATGGTGATAAATTCACCCTGCCCTGAAATACAATGGACTTTCAGATGAAAAGTAGCACAGAAAAATATACTATGTGGTATTTAAAATAGAAGTGAGTAGTGACAGAGGTGAAAGAATCTAAACGTTGTAGACATTTTACTTAGCTCAAGTAAAATTGGATTTATGGTGAGTCCTTTCTCCTCAACACCTTTGAGTTCCAAGTGGCTGTGCAGTGATGTCCATGGAAAGAAAGGAAGACACTGGATGACACAGTGGCTGCCATGGGTTTCAGTAGCACATTTAACTATCCCATATGGCACATCACAGAGGGATACCATAATTTCAGTGGAAGGAAAAGCAAGTGGAACAGAGATATTCCAAAACCTTGTAATTGCAAAGTCAGTGCTTCCAATCACCACAGCAGTACTTCTGAACTTCCATTTAAAGCAGTAATTAAATTAATATCAACACTACAATCCTAAGTGGCCCAAAAGGGATTTTACAAAATCTTCAACAAAATAAAAATAAAAATAAACAAGTGTAATTTTCCTCAATACCTTGGAAAAATACGTTGTGAGAGGCTGCGGCTATGTTCTCCATTAAATGCTGTTGAACCTGCAGAGACAAAGGCCAAATAAGAAGGCGCCGTTATCATATCCACTAACAGCTCAAATATTTGACAGGTCTTCACTGGCAGGTACCTTATGCATAACAAAAAGATCATAAAACAAGCTAAAAAAAAAAAAGGAAATGAAGCGAAAGATTAAAGGAGATAAAACAGATGAAAGAATGAGGGAAAGACATAGTCTTTACAGGAAACTCATCTCAACCAGGACAACACAGAATCAGATACTTGTACTCTGCACAGCTTACAACCTTGAGAGAAATAATTACGGACACAAATGCAATAGCTGCTGTAATTTTAATGGTGTTTTTGCAGAAATCTGCTTCATGCCAAAAATCATACCTGTACTGGCAATAGATACAGAGCAGAATGGAAGGGCCACTGTTACCATTACAATATATTTTTCAGATGAAAATTGCAGACATAGCACAACAGGAATAGAGGTAGCGACAGTGACCAAGATTTGACCATACTACTGTGGCAGGACTCTGAGGAAATAGGATTTGTCTGGATTACCTTGGCTCAAGTCTGCAAAGTGCTGCCAGATGTTCAGCATCTGACTGAATCAATCTTACAAAATATGATCAATGGCAACTCAAAGGGAGAATTTATATCTGTTATTACATGGAAAGATATAAGATGTGATCTTGCCCTATATTACGTTGCCTCTTCTGTGTCTTTAGAGCATCACGCTTACAACACTGATAGTAAATGCCCATCATTCACCTACAAGGAGATAGGTCTCAGAGAACTTTTTGGTTTAATGTTCAGTTATGAGCTGAGGCAAAGAAAAGCCATGAAGGTCAGTGTTTCCACTTTGGTAATCTTGTTTATCCTCATTTGGAGCTCCGTTGTCAGTTGCAGCCTGGATGTGAAGGGCACAGGACCAGGCAGGCTCACCAAGAAAGGGAAGTAAAACCTTCCAGGATGTTTTTTACAAATCGGTCCTATTACCCTACTCCCATACATCCTGTTTCTTCTACACTTTGGGGGAAAAAAAAAAAAAAAAAATCACTTTACCATGAGAAAATTATGCTCTAAGCCTGGCAAAAGCAAATTGAGGACACAACTGGAAGAATCTTGGTGGAGGTACAAAAAGATCAAGTAGCATTGGCCAGAATGCCACACAGCAAGTTGTATGAAAAGTGAGTGTGGTGGTGTGTTTCATAGATTGACAGGTGGTAGACCTATTTTTTTCATATACAAATAGTTCCTGAAATAATTCCTCTTATTTTAGGCAAAATTACAATTTTTAATTGTGCAAAAATATTACACTCAAACCCAAGAAATTAATCCAAACTCTAAAAGAAAATACAGGAAGAACTTGACAGGTGGTTTGTAGATCTGGATATAAACTAAAACCTGCAAAATCCCAAATCTTATCAGTCAAATAAGTGTGACCAACAGTTCGAGGGAGGTGATCCTGCCCCTCTACTCCACTCTCCTGAGACCCTGCCTGGAGTACTGCGTCCAGCTCTGGGGGCCCCAGTACAAGAAAGACATGGAGCTGTTGGTGTGAGTCCAGAGGAGGCCACGAAGCTGATCAGAGGGCTGGAGCACCTCTCCTATGAGGACAGGCTGAGAGAGTTGGGCTTGTTCAGCCTGGAGAAGAGAAGGCTCTGGGGAGATCTAATTGCGGCTTACCAGTACCTGAAGGGGCCTACAGGAAAGATGGTGAGGGACTGTTTATCAGGGAGTGTAGTGACAGGACAAGGGGTAATGGGTTTAAGCTAAAAGAGAGCAGATTTAGATTAGACATAAGGAAGAAATTCTTGACTGTGAGGGTGATGAGGCACTGGAACAGGTTGCCCAGAGAAGCTGTGGATGTCCCATCCCTGGAAGTGTTCAAGGCCAGGTTGGATGGGGCTTTGGGCAACCTGGTCTAGTGGAGGGTGTCCCTGCCTGCAGCAGGGGGGTTGGAACTAGATGATCCTTGAGGTCCCTTCCAACCCAAACCATCCCATGATTCTATGAAATAAGATCCCCTCCATAGCAGATTTTTTTTATCAAAAGCTCATACAAATGTGCACAAATTTACTTGCTCGTGGTGTTGATGCAACATGTGATATTCCATACATCTTGAAAAGGATTGTTTCACACACCTTGGGATAACAGGCAATATAGATTATCTGTAAAAGAGTTTAAAAAGAAACAGAAGTATGTTTCATTTTGTCTTGTTTGAAAATTAGGATGTGTAAGATAGTATCATCAATACATATCACATTATTAGTTATATTTTCACTTAGGCAAAAGTTATTGATTCTAGGGCATATTTGTTTGAAAAGGGATATAGAAGTATACCTCAGCATCAATTATACTTACTACCACTCTTTAATAATCTGAGAATGAAACTTTCCAGCAACCGAAACCCATAACACAGTTGCATTGCATGTGATTTTCTCAGTTATGATCATACAAAGTAGCAATCACTAAAAAAGGATAACTTTTAAGAATAGTAGCTGACATATGGGTAGTGCTTTCATTAGAAAGTGTTGACACCTACTGATCAACGTGGCAGAACAAACCACAGTCCTTCCGTTACTAATTTGAATTGTCTCAAAAAATTTGCAAGGTATGTCTCTGCAGGACGCATGTTTATCTGCCACCCTCCACGGAAGTAAAATTTAAGGTAATATAGAGTACATGCATATAGTTATAACAGAGAGGGAGAGATATACATAGGCAAATATATTACTGGGGAGGCGATGATTTTCTCTTTTTTGAAGAACAGTTAGTAAGCAGTTGTAATTTGCTTTCAAACTATTTTAAGAAATGATAATATCAAGCTTCTGTAAGCAGTCATAGAACAGGCAGTCCAATGGATTTTTTTGCTAGCCTGGATCATGAAAATTTTTGTCTCATGCGTTACTGAAGAGGGTTCTTGAAAATTGTAATTCAAGCAATACTGGAGAAAGCGTGGAAACATCGTGTTGTAGACAATGCTGCACAGTGTTCTGCTTTCATTTAATATTCAGTCCCATTTCTGGGCTATTAATAGCGTGAGAAGCTATAGTAACAATATAAGCAAGCCAAAACAAAGTATCTCAACCACCACTGTACAAGGAAGCAGTAGTATTATATCTGTAAGCCATAAAATGAACATTAATATAGAACTTCTAAACTATGACATGAGAAAAGGCCAACAGCTTTAAGAAATTCCACTAAAAGTGAATCTGAGGTGAACGCGGCAATATTTTATGTCAAGAATTCAAATAAAAGCTTAAGGCAACAACCCCCGTGAATTTCAAAACACCCAAAAGCCCATGTCGTAATATAAACAAAAAGTCACTGTCCAAAACAGTTTTAATCACCTGTTCCTCCAAAAATTAAATTAATATTTAAGCCAATGATACCCTCAATTAGTAGCCAGCAGTCCCCTGTCCATATTTGCATTCTCAATATTTACATTAGTACATACCAAACTATAGTGCTAACTATTAAAATAGCTGAAGCCCAGGCAACCAGTTTTATTCTATTGTACCTACCAAACACAAGTGTCTACAAAGACAGTTTTATTTGTTCACACGTATCAGACATTTTTGAAGAGCAGTCTAGTCTTTTCTCCCTGCAGGTGATGATAGCAACATCCACAAAAATGCAAAACTTCCTGAAGAGCAGTATAGAAATGAATCCAACGTTTAATTACTCCTCAGCTGACAAATATATTAAGACATAAATATGTGTAAAATCTTCCAAACCTGGAAAATCCATTTCACTTTTAACACATGTATGTAAAAAAGTTTCTCATCATCAAGACGAGAGCCTCTGAGATGTGAAGCGGAGGGTGCTCTTTCTGCAGCTTCCTGGAAGAGATTAGCCCCCGGTCTTGGGAAAGGCAGGTCTATGAAGTCCCCTGTTTCCTTTTGAAAACAGCCCGTGCAATCAGCGGCACAGAGGCAGAATGAGGTCATGCTTCCTGTAAAGTAGCCTCACATCAGAAGCATTCGTTTTGAAGAGCAAACCGAAGATTAAGATTAGCCCAGTGAACGCTCTTGCAGGCAGGCTGTTCCAAAAGAGAAGATCCACTATAAATAATATTTCACTCCAATTATGATACGGAGAGCACAGGCAGAACCTCCTCTCACAAAGAAAAGTGACACAGACTTTTGTTTCAGCTTTACCTTTCTACCTCGCTCAGAAAACTTTAAAGTGGTATATCCAAATCACTCCATTTGTTGAAAGACTAGCGAGCCTGACAAGCTTTGATGTAGGAAAATGATCCAGCTACCAAAAAACCCATACATAGTGACAAGACATTTTGCAAAAGCACTATTATACAGAAGAAGCATTTGGTGACAGTTCAGGGTTGTTTAAGTTTCATGGTCAAAAACATTATTGCAAATATATATCATGCAATGTTCAGATAAATTCCTTTGAAAGGAGAAAGGAATAAAGCCATTTGTAAACATATTCATTGTTTGACTCGATATGTTTCATACTAAGTAAGGTATCAATTCATCATAACTTAAAGTACACAGAAATAAAGTCAAATCCATGGTAGAGAAATGGAGCCTGAATAAGATGTCCTGGAGATCAAAATGATTTGGCTGTAGAACTATTACAGACGAAAGTAATATAAATCAGCTGCTTGACACTGAAGAATTATGCAGCCTTAGGGAGCAAAACTTCATCTCCAGACAAACAGATAAATTATGCTAGTAGGTATCTCTCCTGATGTCTGTATGTATCACTGACAAAAAGAAAGCATACATCTAGGAAAATACAATTGATTTGATTTAATGATAGGGGTTTTTTTTCCCCCTGGAGAAGGAAAAGTACCTCCACTGATAACAAAGGAATGCAAAATTCTCACCTCACACAAAAGGAAACAAAAAAAAGGAATTAGGCAATTAGGATGTTACAAAAGAGCTTCTGTTTGGGAGCTAAAGTAAAATGAACATTTTGAGGTCCTTTTGCTCAAACATGAAAACGTAGGGCCGTGTTGTTCTTCACATCACCTCCTTTAATTTAGTGGAATTATGCCAGTGAGGAAATTTAGTCCAACACTAGTTCCATGGAGGCATGGGCTTCATCACAGTAGGATTTCCCAGGCCACCCTGTCTCTCTACAGGCAATGGACATAAATTCCCAATGGTCTTTCAAAGTAGGTCACTCACTGAAGAATTTCTATACATACATTGATTTACAGCATAGGTTACTTCTTGGGAGTATTTTTGGATTCTTTTCATATTCTTTTCAACAGGAAGCAGTTAATCCTGAGCTCTGGCTGCTTTTTTGAAGGACATTGGCATTTCATGTTTGTCTGTATAATTAAAATATATTGCGTCTATTGCATATTCAGACTTAGAGGTGTTTTCTTTTTAATGACTAACATTCATATCTGAAACTCCCTGTTCCACAAGCTTTTGATGAATAAACTTTGTGCATTAGTGAATATTTTATAGGTAGGTGCTAGCCTATAGTTTACATATGCACACAAAGGTTTATATACAACTTTTTTTGTTACCTGTTGCTTCTCAAACTGCCCACCCCACCCCAAGCCCCATCTCAACCGTCAGATTTCAAATTCTAGGAAATGAATACATCAACAAGCTTGCTGTGCACTAGTTTTATGCCTGTTACATACATTACAAGTTCAACCCACAAAGGGAAGGAAACGAGAAATTACAATACTGAATGCCACATATCTTTCTACTCTTCTCCCAGGCTTACTCTACTTTTAAAACTACAAATAAAGGAGAAAATATATTGCACTGGGTCCAGTTGTCCAAGAGAGGCGATGCTGGGGCAGCTCCACACCTGAGGTCCCACCAGCATCGAGCCTGAGCATGTATACCTGGTAGGCAGACACACAGACCACATGTATACACCATATATATACATACATACACAGCTGGCAACACAGATAACAAAGACAGACAGACATACAGACAGCACTGATGGCCTCATCCTTCTCACTGCTCTGGCTGAACAAGATGGAGGTCCACTAGTGAGAATATACAGATATATACACATCTGTACAAGCTGGATCCCTCCAGCAGCTGGGCTCGGATACCCAGTCTGCCCAGTAGATCCCAGTCTCCCCAGTTGCTGGCATTTGGACACCTCAGGGCCACAGCCCCACTCCAGTTGCTGGTATGGACTATCACACACAGAGGTACCGGTCGGGATTCCCCCGGCCCTCGGCAGCCCACTCCCTAGGGCATCGCCCTCAGAGACACCCCTGGCCATCACGCATCTCGTGCCCCCAGGCAGCCGCGGCCCTGACCCAAAGGTGCTCTGGTGTTGACTCATCTGGGTGGGTTTCGTGCCTGGACACAGGGGCTGAGGCTCCTCTGGGCCAGCCCTGGGAGAGGTCCAGGCAGGGTGTCCCTTCCTCTGAGTCCTTAATTTGGGTTCCCACCTGCCTTTGTGCCCCTGTGCTCCTCTGGGCTGGTGCAGACAGGCCTTTGATGGGCTGATGGCGCCCAGGATGGACCTGGGAGCAGCTGGGGCAGGGTATTATTGGGGGTCCCCCTCCTGCCGTTATGTCTCTGTGCTCCTTTGTGGGTGTGCGGCACACGTCACACCATAAGTGTGCCATCTCAGCAACCCGCTGCAGCCCACTGCAGTGCACTGTTACGCTAAACGCACAATTTTCAGAAAGGGTATTTTGCCCGGTAGAGTGAATTGAGTGGCCATGGTGGTGGGAGCAGAGTGCTTATTGATTGAATGCAATTGAGATAATTTGACACTTCTGTGTCTCTCTTTGAACCTCCTGGAAAGCTCACAGCCTTTAGCTTTTCCACCAGCTCCAGCGACCATCAAATCAGGTCATTTGTCCCATATCACAGCTCTGTGCTAATGCTGTTTATATAGTACTCAAAAAATAAAAAAATATTCCGAGATATCTGAAAATTAATTGAAACATTCAAAAACCTAGCAGGGAAAGGGCTGGTCATGAGAACCTCAGAGCAGCCACACTGGGTCAAACTGCAGGTCTATGAAACTCCCCCTGCCTGGAGCCTTGCTGCAGGGAAAATGAAGACTTACTTTAATTCACCTTGGTGAGTGCCAACATTTTAAGCTAAGTGCATTCCTTTATGCAGAACCACTTAGCATTGTTTGACGTACCCTGGAAATTAAAAAAAAAACAAAACCCAACCAAATCTAGACATTTATTTAAATT